GGAGCGAGCGAGGGTGCTGGGCACGGAGCAAGGCTGGCACGGTGCCTCTCCTGAGCCGCTGCGCTTGGCGAGGGGTGGGCAGCCGGGAATGTGCCGGTGGGGCTGCCCGGCCACCCGGGTGTTTCAGTTCTGCAAGGAGCACCGAGGGTGGTTGGATGTCAGCATGCTACAGGAGCGGGGCTTTCTCCAAAGTGAAGGGAAAGCCAGGGTGTCACTCATGCAAGCCCCTGGGCCGCAGCAACTCCACTGAAGCCAGGGGAAGTGGTGGGCATTGGTGACGCTGCTGTCTCCTCACAGGTTTCCTCCATCTCTTCTGATTCTAGGCTATTTCCTGATCTTCCTGGGAGAAGGGAGCTGAAGTTCTTTTCAGAATTGGGAAAATCATTAATTTAACACTGCTCCCACTCTTTCCCATCCCTGCCCTGGCTGCGTAATCTTGCCTCTAATGGTGCATGCTCTAGTTAATAAAAAGCACTGAAATACAGGTCCAGCTCCTGCTATTTCCAGGAACATTTGGTCCCATAAAACATAGGAAACCATAATTTAAGCAAATTAAATCAGTTATTGCCTATCTGTCTGGCTGAATGCATGGAAAGGGAAGAGCACCCCGCTGGCTCTGTGCACAGGGAGTAACACCAGCCAAATTCCACCAGCGGCTGCACTGGGAAAGGGAGGCAACGGGCAATCCCAGAAAGCCACATCTCCTTCAAGCAGACATTAAAGGAATGCCATATGCTATAGGGAAAACGTACAGTGAGTACTGAGCTCATCAGTCACTTTTTGTTTAATCTAATTAAACACAATGTATCCTCTGACCTTCTGGGTTGGCACTAAATTCTCCTATGTTGTTCTTTCCACATGAAGCTCTATTGACAGATGGGGAAAGCCTAGTTTGCTTTAAGCTTCAGATAAGTAAAGTTAAACATGCAGCAGATAAAATTGTTTTCCCAGCGCTGCTCTCCCACTGACCAATTGTGGGTGCTCGCTGGGAGGGCTTAACTCCTCTGGCCCGTATCCCACCCCCGGCTCGGGGCACCGCGCTCTGCGGTGAGCAAAAGTTGTAAGAGGGCAGAGGCGGAAGCTGAGTGCTGCAGCAACCCTTGAAAGTTCATTTTTAGAGTTGGTTCTAACACTTGCTCAGCTTCATTTCTGTGTGGCAGATGATTAGGGAAAACGGTGCCGCTTCTCACTAAATATATTTCCAGAATCACTAAGTAATTTGCTACCTAACAGCTAATCAGTCGGCATTTGCTGATGCTGAAACAGGTTTTAAATAAAAAGTGTCGAATTGCATCAGACACCTCGTGCATATTCCCTGCTTATACAGGCTACATGCTGTTGCTGTGTGTGCAAGGGCACGATCGGTCAACACGGCTTCGTGAGTTTTCTGGGAGGGAAAGCAACCACAGCGCTGGATTTGGGGGAGAGCAGGGTGCCACAGGCAGGCACCGGGTTTGATCATGCAAGTGAGTTGGAAGCGTGCTCAGCTTTCAGCGTGACAACCTGCGTGCTCATTTCCTTGCAGGCAAACAAGAAGAGCATGTATCTGCCCTCCACCAGCATCACTTGGTAAAGCTACCTGCAAAGCTATTTTTTCCAGTATGGTGAAAAATCCTTTAGTCTGAGTCCAGGGAGTTACCGCAGGTAACTCTTCCATGTACGTACAGCTGCACCTGTGCTCCTGGACCTACGCACAAATAACTCCTTGAAATATAAACCAAAAGTTACAGAAGAGCCTGGAGGCGATGCCCTTATGGTTCCCGATAGGCTGGGTTAAAGAAGATTTCTTTACTGGAAATAGCTTTAATACTTCTTTTGTGTATTAACAGTGCTGGGCAGGGTGGGAGGCAGCAGCCCGCCGAGCGCAGAGGGGCTGTTTCTTGCACGTGGCCGTGGAGTCAAACTGGAGTGGTGTGAACCTCGTGGCTGTGATCTTCCATGGCCAGTTGCAGGAGCTTGACATGGGGGTTGGCATGACCGGGATCCCAAGCCGTCAGCTTTGAGATGTCTGAACTCATGCCGGTGTTCGAATAAATGCAGACCTCTTGCTGGAAGCTCTCAGCCATCCCCAGTGACTGTGAAGGACCCTGCCGATGGTTCACAGCCGCATAACATCTCTCTTGAAGCCGTAGGGAAAGTACAAAGGATGACATTCTGCCTGGGGAGAATTCCGTTATCTTCAGGCATAAGGGGGTGGCAGGATCGCTAGGGGCATTGGCCAGTGTCGCTGCTCCATGGTCGAGCCTCTGTCTCTCCTCTGCAGCAGGTCGGCAGCCCCAGAGAGCAGGCAGATGAAGTCGTGCAGCTGCTGATTTACTAGGGGAGCTGCTCCTTGCAAAACTCACTGCCTTTTGAGCACTCCCACGACAGAGCGACCAGACATTTTTTATAGATACGTACAACCCCCCAAAAAATTGGACCCAGCAGGCTGCTCTGCAAAATGAGCTGTGCATACTGGTCAGTAACATGCGATGGGCTGAGGGGACAGCTTCCTTTTGATGAAGCAAACTTTCCCTCATAACACTGGGAGGGAGCTCAGGCTTAAAACAAAAATCCAACGACTCCTGAAGGAATTGCAAAGGGGACAGTTCCTCCTCTCTCCTGCAAGTGCCCACATGGTTGCCCCCATGAAGCCAGGGGGAAGACGCTGCATGAAGCAGAATTGCCGGTGACCCCTGCGGCAGCGACAGCTTTCCTCACAGTCTATTTCCAGCAAGCTGGGAGTGACTTGAGATGGATGAAGCCACCTCAAGCCTCTCCATAAAACAAGTCCTTAAAATCTGGGTTGGAAACGCCTGGCCACCTGAAACCTGGTTGTGCCTGGATGAAAACATTTCCCTCTGGTGTAAAGGGATGGGGATGTGCTACCTGTTCTTCATGCGGGTGTGCTCAGTGCCTGGCTTTCTGTCTTGTTGAACTCAGCAGAAAGGTTGTTGTGGTGTTTTGTGTCTCCGGGGGACTCGGGGCCATTACCCTGCGCTGGGAGCAGTGCCGGAGCAGAACACATTGCTTCTGGGAAAGCCCCGGGAGGGGGAAGCCAGGGTGGCTTGCCCTGCTTCAGGGGCCGCTTGCTTTCATTCTGCCTGTGCTTTGAAGTACCTCAAGGTTTTAGCTATAAAGCTCTAACCACTGAAAAATAAAATCTTGGCTTGGGAAGGCGCGTTGCCTTGGCATGTTTCCTGGGACTGAGTGACTTATGATGCTGTGCTGTAAGTGGGGGAGGACTCCTTCTCCTTGTTTTAGAGGAGGTGGGTCACACTCCTCTGGAGTCCAAACTCCCTCGGAGACTTTTTCTTTCCCCTTTTTTTCATGACATCAGCCAGGACTTGATGTTACTATTTTAAAAACAAAAGGAGGGGACACCCCCCCCACACACTTCCCTCCCGCTCTCTGCCAAAAGGAGAACAAAGAACAGCTAAAGCGCACAAGTTCTGGCACTCTGTTTGGAAATAAAAACATTCATCCTCATGTCAGGTAGGGAACTGCCCGACCCCCCTGCCAAAGCAAGCAAGCCGGGCGGCAGAGCAAACCCGCGGCGCAGAGGAGCCTGGGCGAAGGGGATGCCCGGTGTCACCCCGCGCTTGGGCAGCTGCTTGCCAAACTCCTGCGCTGCTGTACCAGTGCCAGGGCACGCCGGGACGCTCCCGGCCACGGGCAGTCATCCAGGGAAAGGCCACCCTGTTCCTCCCGGGCTGGGAGGTGGGGAAGGACATTTCTTCTTCCCCTCTCCCACCGCTGGTCCCCACAGTATGGGCAGCTCCTGCATCTCCATGCTCCCCAGCAGGGCTGGTGCACAGCGCAGGGGTAACCCGATGTAATTTCCACGCTTTGGACACTAACGTCTTTGTCTGGCTTCTTCCTCGCCATTTAAACATGTCAGCAGTTCCCAGCGCAGATTCCTGTGCTGTGAGTTCACCCCGGACAAGTATCCAAACTGCAAGTCGGGGCTGCTGGCTCTTCCCCGCCTGTCTGTGAAGCGTTACTGGAACAAGGGCTGGTTCTCCAAACACGAGGAAGAGATTACTTGGGCTTTCTGGAAGGCTCCCTCCCATGCCTTCAGAGCAGAGCAAATGAGGATAATTTATCTGTGGGCTTCCGGCTGAACCCAGTAGCTTGGAGCAGCCAGGACTATGCCGTCTGTTTGTCCCAGCTCCTGCAAGAAGGCATTTTTCCATTGTCGCCGTTGTGTATTGTTCGCCTGATTTGTTTGCTCCATCGCCTTCTGGGGCCAAGATAAGAAGTCGTCCCCCTGCCTTTTAATGGCGGCATGTTCCCCAGCACAATCCAGGGAAAAACTGTCTCAGGAAAGAGCCTTCAAAAGAGGCTTTCATATGTCCGACAACCCTCATTACAGTCATGTAAATAGTTTTGTGCGATCTCTCTGGCTAGAAACACAACATGTCAGAAGGGAATTGTTCTCTAAAATGTAGTTATGGATGGGCCAAAGCAGGCGGATCAGCCGCATGCGGGTTGCCAGCTTAATGGACAAAGCAGCTGCCTTTCAGTGGGGAACAAAAGCCAGGCAGTGAGCCTATGCGCACTTGTGTGAGCGTCTCTTATTCCCCGTGGGAGCTGGAGTTGAGTTTTGTGGCCAGGTAGAAATCCTGGGCTCCCTTCCCTGCTTCATCTGCCATGATCTAATGCAGTACCCAAGGATGGGTTAATGTCCCTGCTGCTTCTGCAGAGGGATGCGGGGAGCGGAGACAAGGTAATGCGGATGGCTGAGCCCTCTGCAGCAGAAGCAGCCAACTGGAACAACACTGTAACACCATCCACTTTAGTGAAGTTACTCGTGATTTTTGAATGTAGAGTCGAAGCCCAGCAGCTCTGGCTTGGCACAGGGCAATGGGACAAGAGCAGATTCTCTGTTTGCTTCCATCCTGCGCTGGCTCCGGTGCCTCCTCGCCTGTCCAAAACAGCTGCATGCTGCCTGAAGTGACTTTACGGACAGTAAAAGCTTAAAACATTGCATTCACCTTCATGATATTTTTCTCCCTTAGAGCAAATCATGGCGGAAGATCAAGAATATGGTGCACTGGTCCCCATTTGTGATGTCTTTCAAGAAGAAGTACCCTTGGATCCAGCTAGCGGGACATGCAGGTATGGAGCATGGGGAGGGGCAGAGTGGTGGAAAGGCTCTTTGTTATCTCAGGTTAATGGGCTTTGTTGGCCAGAATTGCTTCTGACTGCTGCATGGATGTCACAGATTTCAGCTCCCACATCTCTAGCCCAGGAGAGTGACTTACCTAAATGCTAGGGAGGGTGACATGAAGGTGCAGTGCTCTGTGCTTTCAGTGTCCCAGGGCCAGCGGTATTACTGCTACTTTTTTCTCAAGCAGCAGAAAGCTGAGTCCTTTGGGTGAGACCCAAGCCCTCTTGCTGATCCACAGCAAAGCAGGTGATGCTGCCCAGCACAAAGATGCCCCACGCATGAGCCTAGAGTCAAAGGTGTGAGCTTACCATGAAGTACATAGAGGCTGTGAATCAAATGTATTGGGTGCTGCAAAGCAGGTCTCTGCCCTGTTTAAGGTGTGACATTGCTGGTCATAAACCTCTGACACTACATGTGAATCTGGCAGCCTGAGCTTGCAAGTCCCAGCCTGCAGGGACTCTTTCGGGTGCAGGTGTAAACGGAGATCCTTCCAAGTTGTTGGGCTGCCCTTCTTGTTTTGGAAAGGCGCAGCATCATCCCCCATCCAAAACAAGTGCCACGTTGTCCCTTGTCACCCTCAGGTAGTTTCAAGGCGGCAGCCAACGGCAGGATACTGAAGAAGCACTGTGAATCGGAGCAACGCTGCCTGGACCGCCTGATGAACGATGTCCTGAAGCCCTACGTTCCTGCCTACCACGGCGACGTCGTGAAAGACGGGGAGCGATACAACCAGATGGAAGATCTGCTGGCTGAATTTGACTCCCCCTGCGTTATGGACTGCAAAATGGGGGTCAGGTGAGTGACTCTGGGGATGTTGTTTGAGTTTTATGATGGGATACTCAAAGCAAATGCATTTCCTGGGTAAAACCCTCCGAAACACACAAGTGAGAATACCAGGCTCACCTGTCTTCAGGAAAAGCTAAGCCAACAGCGTGAGGAGAGTGCCATGGGGAAGCCTGGGTACAGGAAGGACACACTAGGCTCTTTCCTACTCTACTTGTTGACTATTGCGTGTGCTGGGAAAGTGGTTTGGTGCAGTGGAGGGGACAGCACTCTATTTGGGTTTGGGTACACTAGAATGGCACAGTAGCTTTCAGGAGGATGGCAACCTGCCTCTCACTGCTGCAGCTGGACACAGCCAAGGGGCAGGGAGCAAAAGGTGTGGGAGATCCTGCCCAGGGTTCCAGAGAAGTGAAATAAAGGCACTTGAATGGCACAGCTTTGGTGAGTGAGAAACTTTCCCTCTGCTCACTCTTTGCTTCCATGCACACTTGAGGGATAAAATGTGTGTGCTAAGTAGTTAAGTGCCTTTCATGCAAAGCTCTTGAAATGTTTCCTAACAGATGAGCAACATTACCCGTGTCCTCCTCAAGAACCATCTACAGATATGCCAAGATCCCAGGCTGCAGCCACTTGGCCAGCAGCAGTTTTTGAGCTAGCGACTCCACAGCTGAGAGGGTGTCCCGGAGCAAATGGGAGCAGGGCTGGTGCCCCCAGGCGGCTGCCAGTTTTGGAGCAGCCTCGGGCCACTGCTCGGCCCTGGGTCTGCTGCAGGCTGGTGTCAGGGTGGGTTGAGACCCCCCTCGCTGGCTAAGGTGCAGCCCAGACGCAGTGGAGATGCTTGCGCTGCTGGAAAAGCTGATGGTTTCTGTGGGAGGGAGGAATCTTTTTTTTCCCCTCCTGAACTCCCAAAGTGAAACTCGAACTGGCGTGTCGGGCTGTCGGCAGGGAAGAGGCGAGGAATACTTTCCACCGGAGGGGTGGAGAGAAGGGCAGGGGGCCCCGGCGCAGCCACGTGGCCCTGGCAGACACACACCGTGCTGCTGTGGGACAGAGATGGGACCCACTCTGGACCCAGAGATGACAGCCACCAGAAGAAGACCTGCTGGTCGTGCTGCCCAGGTGCTCCTGTGGCTGCCTCTGGGAGGGGGAAAGCCTCCTGCGCACAAATCGCAGGTTGGGTGATTTGCACAGCTGGGTTTTTGGAGCTAAGCCAGGCAGAGCAGGCAAGGGAGCAAATGTGTTGGGCATCATCATCATTAAATAAGATGGTGCTGTGGGAGGAGCTGGTGAGGGAGGGTGACTTGGGCTAATGTTGGGGAGTGGGGCATCTCCATGGCCGGGCGGGAGAGGCTCTGGCAGATGAACTAAACCTCAAGGCTATTAAACCTGTCCTCTGAGCCAGCAGCTTGCTGCCAGGCAGATACAGGTTTAGTTTTTTCCTGCCAACCTGGCTTTGGGATGCGGCAGCCTCCTGCAGTCACCCCTAAACAAAACTTTGTCTTTCTTAAGCCCTGGTAATGGTTCAAGCCTGGAGCAATGTGGGGGGACCAAACCGCAAACACAGACGATCTGTCGTTCTCATCAAAAGGAAATCTAGCTTTCTGAGCAGCACTTCTGAGCGTGCCACTGCTTTATGCTGCTATTTTATTCTGTCTGCCCAAAAATCATGGGTTTGGTGATCTCAGCTAAAGCCTTTCATTGCTTTTATCATCTGCAGTGTTTTTCAAAGGGGCTCATGCTCTGAGAGTGTCTGCTCAGTGATCATATGCCTGCCCAGAGAAAAGACACCAGTCTGCCTTGCTAAACCTGTGGGAAACACAGGAAGACTGTTCCACGCAGTCTGCCTAGCATCCTCCCTGTGCATTTTGCTTGGTTCTGGTAGTGAACTGCACGCTCAGTGCTGGGATTTTGTCACGAGGTACATGGGGAGAGGACACAGCCCCTCTGCAGAGCTGGTCATGGCTAATGGGAGGTGTAGAGCAGTTTGGATTTGGGGGGAAGGAGGTGCCAGATAGGGTCATTCCTGTGTGGTTTTGCTGGGACATCTCACCTGTCTTGCGAGTTGCTTGGAGAGAGCCTGGGCACTTGCTGGGCTGAGCTGGGGCAGGTTTGGGAGCCACAAGAGGAGTTACATAGTGGTTTATTACTGCTGCAGGAAGTATTATTTTGTGGATGATAGTTTTCTGCATGACAGAGTGCAGAAGTTCTCCACCGGTGTGCTCTGGCACAGAGTGGTGCTCCTCTGAAGGATGCATAAAACCAAGGTCTTTGCACGCTCCTCTGCACCCTCCATCCTCCTTCCCCCATTCCCCCACCCTGGCTGTACCCCATGGTCCTGGGGGGACAGTAAGCACCTGGCCAAGGCTGCATCCCTCCCTCTGCTCCATCCTGTACAGGAAACTTTAGCTAGATAGTCCACTTAAAACAAGCCTATACTGGGCAAAATCACCAGCAGCAAAACAGACCTGTGTGAAAACACCCTGTTTAGCAGCCTGCAAGGCACAGCTCTCATGGTGCACAGGGTGAGGTGATGGGAAAGCACAGGAGAGGCACAGGAGCCGCAGCTGCCCTCCTCCTTCCCCCAAATCCAAACTGCTCTACACCTCCCACTAGCCATGCCCAGCTCTGCAGAAGGGCAGGAGGGAGCAGCAGCCGCCCACATCGGCCAAACCTCGGAGGCAGTGGCAGCTAACAACGAAGGCTGGTACGCAGCAATCTCCTTCTTGCCTTCAACTCAGCCAGGTCCCAGAGCATGTGGGCAGTTTCCTGGGCACATCTTGAAAGTCATATTTAGTTTGTCAGAGCCGCTAAGTCACTGCTCAGGTTTGCTGAGCATTGGGAAACAGACCCCCAGGACCAAGGGGGGGTGGTAGCAGCAACACCATAAGGACCTGCAAGAAATAACCTCCCTTGTTATTGCCAAACTGGTTGTGGTTCCTTAATGAACTGAAAAGCTATCAGGTGTTGATGATGGGGTGCTAAATAACTCAGGATCAATTCATCTGCAGTGAGGCTTGCTCCATCATTTCCTATGCTGCCCTACTCTGTAGGGATCAGATATCATGGGTAGGCCTGATTTTGGGGTAAGGGCTGTCTGTGGGTATATGGCACCTTGTGTGGTAGCACTGTGGCCTTGCTAATGTCCCCTGCCCTCACTCCTTGCAGGACATACTTGGAGGAGGAGCTGATAAAGGCCAGGAAGAAGCCGAGCCTGAGGAAGGACATGTACCAGAAGATGATCGAGGTGGACCCTGATGCTCCCACTGAGGAAGAGAACGTGCTGCGGGCAGTAACCAAGCCCCGCTACATGCAGTGGAGGGAGACCATCAGCTCAACCGCCACGCTGGGCTTCAGGATTGAGGGGATAAAGGTGAGGCTGCTCCAGGCGTGCAGAGCAGGGGGAACCGCTGCTGGGAGCGTTTGGTAACCAAACTGACTCCCTCAGAGGCACACACACAGCAGACTGGTGGCAAGACCATGTCACATCAGGACATCCCTGGTCCCTGCAGCCAAACCACCCTTGTCAGGCACCTGGCTTGGGGCAGTGCCGCTCTTCTGAGAGCACAGCTGTGCTCAGGGCATCAATGCAAGAGGACAGTTTTAGCCATAATCTCATTAAATCAGCTACTTGGTTGATTTCCCTGACTATGAAATGCAAAGTGCCATTCTCTAACTTGAAGACTCAAATTAGTTGTTTGCTTTTAATACTGCTGTGCCGCTAGGCTGAGCCATTAATCCAAATCGCAGCTTGAACGTGTGCTGATCCATGTTTGGAGCTGTGAGGTTAGCTGCAGTTGGTGAGGAGCCTGTATTTACATCCCTGTGTGGAAAAATTCAGCAACAGAGCACTATGAATGGGGCGAATACAAGCAGCAGTACTTTCTGCTGGCACCTGCATGCATGTGTAACCTGTTAACTGTGCTTGCTCAGAGCTAATGCTCGCATTTCTGGAGATACCTGCTGGGATGCTCTCGTGTCCCCATTAGATGAGCCAGTCCAGGAGTTTTTCTCCTGGCAAGCAGACTTTGTGGTGAGAGAGATGTCCGGAATAGCACTTGAACAAAGTTAGGTCTGTAGCCGCAGAGCAGTTGTATTAGTTATAGAAGACTTGCATGAACATTAGCAATGGCATATGCCTTTTGATAGCCAGCCAACATGAATTAAAGGTAATATCACACTTGAGCGAAGCATTTCATCGCGTGCCTGGACATGATGTTGGCTTGGCAGCTGAGGGGAGCTCAGTCAAGTCATGCCTGCAGTAATTCAGGCTTGGGGCACTGCTGGGGGCCCAGGCAGTAGCTCAGGGCAGCTGCTCACTCTTAGCAGAAATGATGGCTCAATTTCTACATGTATCTTGGTTGGAGAAGTTTCTTTCTCTTGATCACAGATCGTTTTTCTCCTCTCTGAGTCGGGCTGGATTCTCCCAGAATGCCCGTCTGGGTCTCTGTGGCCTTAAACTCCTGCACCTCTCCTCTCCTGATTGGAGATAGTGGTATCAAAATGATAGAATTAAAACAAATGAAGCCGTTCCCTGAAAAAGCCTTCACATCAGATTTTGCAGACTTTCCTGGTAGTGTTCCCCTTCACCTTGCCAGTCAAACAGCAAGCAAATGCAGATGTTAGACCATGGGTTTAAAAGGTGATCATCAGGAGTGGGTCACTCAGAGCCGCTACTTCTGATTACTCGCATACCAAACCTCCGGTGGGAAGGGACTTGCCTGTCCCACTGTGCAGGACAAAGTCCCTGGGCTGTGGGAAGCCCAGCAGAGCACGTTGCACTTAGGGAGGAGGGCACCTTTTTCATTGAACTGTTTCATGGGCAGCAGAGGACAGTGCATTTATCCCTAACTCAACCACTCTCAGAAACCCAAGGAGCAGCCCTCGGGCTGAACCCCTTCAAGAGTTTTCTGGCAAGCAATGCAAAGCTCCCGTGCCCCTGCCTGGGATGCTGCTGGTCATGCTCCCCCACAGCAGCTTTCTGTGGTGCCCTACGTTGGGTCAGGGCACTTGCCTGCTCGTGCAGCTCTTCCCTGATCTCCCCAGCTCTCCCAAAGACCCTTTTCTGCCATGGGTACCCACAAGCACGCTGTGAGCTGCTCTGGCTCGGGACAACCCTTTGCCTAGTTCCCATTGCTGTTGTTTTGCTGGTGCTTATTATAAACCTGAGGCTATATAAAAAAAGGAGTGGGCCAGTTGGGACCAAAGCTCCCATGCACAGTTTCTTCTCCCTGCTTTCTTGCTATAATCAGGAATATCTGCCTATTTATAGTCCAACATGATATATCCTTGGCCTCCAGAGGTGCTTCTCAGCCTATGATCTGGGGACATTTAGGGGGCTTTATGGCAAAAGCAGGTCATATTGAACCACTTGAAGTGAAAAATGTAAAAAAAAAAAAAAAAAAAAAAAACAAAACAAAAAAAAAAAAAACAACAAAAAACCAAACCAAATCGTATTCCCACACAGGCCAAAAAACACTGTGGAGGGAAATAAAAGCCATAAAGGAGTGGTGAGAGTTGCTCCTGGTTTAGCCGACCGTAAGTGAGCTGCTGCACAATGTGAGCTGTGGATTTTTTTAAAGAGGTGAGGCAGCCCTTTAATTGAAAAATGTTGAGAAGTGCTGGCCTCCAGGAGTAATCCTGCTGCTGCTGCTAAGGGCTGACTAATTCGATCAAGGCTCTAATTACTATAATTCTCCTTAAATCCCTCAGCTTCTGCATTATTTTCCCCTAAGCTACAGCATTAACAGTTCATGCTGGTTCCCGGCTGGCTTTTTTTCCAGCAGGGCTGTAGAGCTGGTCGTGCTGTGCCATATCCCTGTATTTGCCCTATTTCTGAGGTCGAGTCTCTGCATCAGGGAAAGCACCTTCAGTGCTTTGAGCTGCTACTGAGCCCTCAGAGGAAAATTCAGGAAAATGCTATCTAATGACAAGTCCCCCCATGGTTTCTTTTCTGCTGTGGATGCTTACCTGGGAAGAGCAGGGGTGAATCTGCCCTGCCGCTTCCTCATGGCTGGAGGCTGATACAGAAGAGCACCTTGCCGTGCAAGGGAAGGGCAGGATTTGGCCCTGGGTGTGTGGGCTGGAAGGGGGCACAGGGGAAGGAGAGGAGCAGCGGTAACCTTTGGGACAGCGCAGGCAGGTGAGGTGAACAGGCAGCTCAGGGTTGGGAATGAGGATGGGGACCCTTTCCTGGCTGAGCACCTGCTTTCCCAGGTGGCCTCAAGGATGCGGTTCTTCCTCTTTAAAATGGAAATTTTCCACTGCAACAGGAGATAATGACACTCATCTAACTTTCTGGAGTAGCTTGAAACTGCTAGAAACAGTAGCTATTAATAAAATTACCATGCTAAAAGTAATACAAGTGATCCCTGGTGACCCAGTTGAAGCTTACTGGAGCTCACTGCAAGAAGTTTCACTCCTGAGCTCCTGCTCTGGTCCGAGAGTCACTCACCATTGCCTGCAGCAAGGCCATGGTGGGATGATATTCCACAGGGCTGGGATGTTTGCGGGGTCCTAGAGCAAGCCCTAAAAGCCTTCACCTGACTTTCCCAAGATGGGCAGCTCACAAGCCCCATCTGAGGCCGGACACAGTGCCGGAGGGAGAACCGGCTGACCCGAACCCTGCCCCAGTGACGCCAGTGCAAACTGGAATCGCTGATGGGGCGGAGGTTGCGATAGTCCTTATCAGCCCCCCTCACATTTCTGCTGCGTGGAAGCCAGCCCCCTTGGGGCTTGGACACCTGTAAATGTCATGGCAGTTGTCAGCCCCACGGCAGCAGCGTCTTGCTGGGCAAGGAAACTGCGGGAGGTGGGTAATGATGGGAGCAGCTTTACGGATAGGCTGTTTGGCTTTTCTGAAGCCTAGATTGCCTTATCTGAAAGGCCATCTGTGGTTTTCATTTATTTTTAGGAGCACTTAGAAGTCCATCTCCTTTCTTGGATGCTTTGTGGAAAGTTCTGCTCTTTACATGTGAAATTAGTGCTGTGGCACTTCTCCAAATTGATATCTATTGTCCTCCGGGGAGAGGGTGGGTTGATTTCTGAACTGCCACGTCAGGGCTCACGTGATGGACGTATAGCGGCGTAGCACCCTTCCCCTATATATTCCGCACGTGCCACAAGAGCACCCTTGGCGAGGCCTCCTGCTTGTGCTGCTGCCACCCCATAAGACACAGCTGAAAGCAGCGACCCTGGCTCTGTTCGGTCCATCAGCAGGATGGGTGCTACGGCAGGGAGGTCTCCAGCGAGAAGGTCGTCCCTGGCCCCTGCCGATGTGTGCTCTGGCAGCGGTTCGCCTTGCTTTTATGCCCTGTGGCAGGGTAGTGGTCAGGCTGGATCCAGGGTGGTTTGAAGCTGGGTGCATTGGTTGCACCTCGTACAAACAAAGTTTTTCCTGGAGACTAAGACCTTTCACGCATTGCTTTCATTATCGCCTTTGTTAACACTTGCACAAAACGCAAGCTGGAAGTTGGAAGTGTGCTGTGTGATTCATCCCAAGCAGCGCATCAGGTGTGGGTTTGGTGCTGGGCTTGGCTTGCCCAGCTCTCTGCAGCCTGGGCGCTTGGCCTTTCCCCAGGCTGGACTGGCCACTGTGCCCACGGCCAGCCTTCTTCCAGGGGGATGCACGTGGCCCCATCCCAGGGCATTTACCTGGATGGGTCTCAAAGTCCTGCCAGGGTGCATAAATCTCTGGGGCAGGTGATTTCATTGTGCTCTCTTCCTTCCCCAGCCTCTGCTCTGCTTCTTCATCCTTACTTCATCTTCCCCAGCCCACAGGATGTCTTTTTGGCCTCTGTCCCTTCACTCTATTGTATGCAAACGAGCTGTCCAGAGTGGTGGGATGGAGCTCTGCAAGCGGAGCTGTGAGCATGAGCATGTGTGGTTTAAAATAGTCCCTGTATCCAGGAAGCGAGTGCTGCCAGCCCGACCCACAGCTGCTCCGGACAATGAAATGTGCTGATCTGAAAATCAGAGCCCCAGCAGTAGTGGGGAAGTGGCGAGTGACCTACAAAGCTGCCCAGAGGTTCAGCTGGGAGCCTCTTGGTCAGGGCTGCTTGCCATCCCCATGGCAGACAAAGCCACACCATCCCTGCCGTGGGCCAGGCACGGACATCCCTCTGGGGAAGAGGCGGAGGAGAGCACAAGGCTGCTTGCTGCGTCTTGGTGCCAGGCTGCTGCTTTTGAGAGTTTGCAATCCATGGGCTATCAAAGGACTAGAGAGGCAAGACAGCTGTGGGCCTCGCTCCTTGCCTTCATCTCCTTGTTTCAGTGGTTTGTGGAGGACTTTGTGCGGAGGGGGTTTTGTGCCTGCTTCTGAGATGTTGTCTGTCCACACTCAGTTGTGTCCTGCCATGGTTGTGCTCTGCTTTCCTCCCGAAGCAGGGGTGCAGCCCGAGACTGGTGTCAGTGCCTGTGATCCTCCACAGCCGTGATGAGAAGCCATTTGGGCACGGTGTGGCCAGGGACAGGTGGCCTCCAGCCACTGGTGGGCATTGAGCGCCCAGTCCATGAGAGGTAGCTCATCCACATTGCTGGTGACATCAGCAACTACGTGGTGATGGAGACTTGCCAATTGCACTAGGGGGCAAAGCAGTGGAGCTGTGGGATGGTTTGGGATGTACAAGGCAGAGAGCTGCTACCTCTTCTCACCCATCCTCCATAGACAGGTTCTTCAGCTGCCAAAAAAAGCTGGTCGCATCCTACACGGGGACATGCTTGGCTGCTGAAACACCCGTCCTTGTCCTGGCTCCATCCCTATCCTGCTTACCACTATCCCTTCTTTTCAAGAAAGAGGATGGCACTGTGAACCGGGACTTCAAGAAGACACGGACAAAGGAACAAGTCACGGAGGCCTTCAGGGAGTTCACCAGAGGAAACCGCAACGTTTTGGTGAGTGGGGGATGCTGGGGGGGCTGCCGGGAGAGGGCTCCTTCTGTGGGGGCTGCCCTTGGCTCATCAGCTCCCTGCCCTGAGGGGCTGCAGCCTGAGAAATCTGTCTTAAAAAAGCGGGAAAAATGGCAGAGAGAAATGCTACCCTGGTACAGGGGTGAGAGGAGAGCAGCAGAGGGCTGGGAGGGAACACGTTTGCTGCAGCAGCACTTCTCAGGCCAGGTCCAAGTCTGCTGAGGATGCTCAAGGGTTGGCCCCAAAACTTGCTGCAGAGGCACAACCATGCTCAGCCCCCTTGTCCCTGGGGCTGACGGCAGCCTCCAGGTCTGCTCTTTACCCCAGTATGTGATGGCATGAGCAGTGGGGGCTCCCACCCTGGCACAGTGAGCTGCCCCACACTCAGTCTTACAGGACGGGTGGCCAAGGCATCCCCCTGCCTGCACCAGGTGCCCTTTGCATGGGCAAGCCACTGTCGGCATTTCCTAAGTTCCTTTATGTTGCCAGGACAATAAGAGATGTTACTGTAAACAATTTACACCGTGTCAAATATCCTATTTGACAAAGTGGTCCCATTTTAAGCTGTACTATGTGAAGCCTACAAACGCAAGGCTCCAGCTGGAGTGGCCATTGTCACTGCCTCCTTCAAGCTGGCACGTTCGCTTTGACAAGTTACCTAGGGATCATTGCTGGATCTGAAAATGAAGTTGCCTACCTGCATTTCATCCCCAAAGAGCTTGGAGCACACTCACACCATCATGCCCTGGCTTTGGATGGGGCTCCTTGGCCAAACCATTGCAATACAGCGACCCCCACATCTCCCCACACAGTCAAAGTACGAAAATATAGGTGTACTATAGTGCCCAGATACCTGCTGTGCATTTTCCTGTGCTTAGTCTTTCTATCTAAACCTCAAAATGAAATTGTCAAAGGGCGCCCCTGAGAACATTTAGTTCCTTCCAGCAATTTGCAGGGATGCTGGAACAGGCATGTGGGTCTTGACCTGCGTGCTGACTAGTGTGAAAGCCCTTCCACCTATGGTACCAACTTTGCAGAAGTGCTGATACAGAGTTACAGAAGTTGTCTCACAATGCTTGACTGACTGAGTGATAAAAAGAGTGCAGGTGAGAGAAAAAAGCAGCCTGGCTGTGCATGCACAGCAGCAACTGCTGAATTAGCTGTTCCCTCCTCGGAAGTGCTATGGATGCAGTAGGGAAAGTCTGCAGAAAGCACTGGTTCAGCAAAAGCAAATGCTCTCACGAAGCTGTGGAAGCCACAGGAGCTCACAGGATGCTGTAGAGGCCAAAAGGATAAGTGGATCCCAAAAAAGAGGGGACACCCCTCCCAGTGGATAGGTCTGTGGGAGGATGCTGAGTGCAGAGCAGCTGAGGGACGCCCCTGGCATCTCTCCACGCAAACATGGTATCATGAAAATGATACTGGGAGGGATGACTTTCCTGTCTGCCCCATGCAGCAGTTTTTATGTAGGCTTCCTGCAGTGCTGACATCTTGGGTTTTTTGTTTTTTTTGTAATTCCAGAACAGTTACCTTAACCGGTTGAAGGGTATCCGCGCTACCCTGGAGACGTCCCCGTTCTTCAAGTGCCATGAGGTAATACTCAACGTTTAGACAGGTCTGCTTAGAAATGCAAATGGTTTAATCACAGCTCGTCCAAGGAGAGGAGTCAAAGCCAGAGGCTGTAAATTTCTACAATTTTGAATTTATTCTTATATCCATGTTTTCCTACCCCTGTTTATCTAGTACTTACGTGGAAATACAGCTGATGACTGATATAATGTTCATGTATCTGACATGGGCTCAAACCTACTGAAAACCAATGTTCATATAGATTAAAAGTGATCTAGGAGGAATTTGGGCTGCTTATGGGTTTATATGACTGGAAAAAATCCTTACTGTAAAAGTAGAGGGGTTTTCTGGAGAGAAATGCCTGTCTGAATGTGCATCAGGTATCATTTGGCTGCCAGTTGCTCCATGTGATCAAACAAGGCTTCAACATAGCCATAAATTGCAGATATCCCAAAACTGCCTTTGCTGAGCTGGTTGGGGCACTACAAGTAAGGACCTTGGAAAGACTTTCCTCCAGAAATGAGGGTCCACAAAATCAACATTTTCTGCAGTGAAAATTCAGTTCTGGTGGGAAAACAGAGGAAGCACTAAATTTTTTGGCCATTTCAACAGGAATTGGAATGCTCCATAATTTAATAAAATCATTTTATTGATTTAGCATTGGCAAAAAGTATTTGCTATTGCATCTACTTAACAAAACATGAGCGCGCGTGTCCTTGGCATGTGTTGTCTACGGGCAAAAGAACCTCACAGGAACCCTCAACTCACGGAGCAGGAGCCACAGTTCCAAGATCCCACTGTCCCTCAGCCGGAGCCGCGTGAGCCACCTCGGCTCCAGCTGCACGCGGAGGGTCCTGGCGGGAGCCGGAGGCACATGGGGCCATGCCTCCTGACAGCAGCGCCTGTAAGGCAATTGGAAGGGAAATGTCAAAACTGAGGGTTTCAGGTCAGTTCAACATGGGAAACAAAATGCTCCCTGAAACCAAGTGCCAGGGTTTTGCTTGAAAACACAGAAACAAAACAGCCTTTCAAGGAGGTTTTGAAAGGAGTTTCCATTCCTTAAAAATTAAAAAGCAGCAGCTTTGACTTTCCGTCCCACTTCGAGACGAAGCACAGCAGAAGCTCTGCCAAGCTCTGCGTGTCCCTCCACGGGGCCCTCACTGGGCAGGGCTCCTCTGAGGAGCTGCAGGAGAATTCGGCAACCCAGGACAGGCGAGCAAAGAACGTCAGCAAAAGGCTTTTCCTTAAGGTTAAAATGCTCTGTCCTGGCCAAGAGAGGGCTATAAGAGCTTAGAAGGACAAGAGCTAAAGATAAGCATTTCTGGAAAATAATAAATATCTCTGGACCTTGGATGTTTTCCCAATGTGCTGGAGGAGGAAGTCTCCTCAAAAATGTAAATTCATAACAGCTTTTGCAAACAGTTCATGCTTCCCATTCAAAACCCTCGTCTAAAGGCAAACCTCAAACTAAATCCTGCTGATAGCACAGACATGGGAGTCCCCAGTAACGTTTAGTGCTGCTGTTTTGGAGGGCTGACAGCAGCTGGGTGCCCCTAGAGCTGTGCTCCTCCATGTACCTGCACAGCTTATGGGGCACTCCTGGCTCTGAGCATGCTGCGTCCTGTCTGCTAACAGCCGTTGTGCTCGGGTCACCAAGGTCCCCGTGTGTGATACAAGGGCAAGCGAGTTCATAATCCACCAATTCATGTGCATCAGACATGATTTGGAAAGCAATCTTCATTTGGGACAGCTCTGAAGCATGCCTGTTGGTGCTTTTCTGTAGTATTGCCTGCTAAAAACTTCTGACTGGAGGAGCAGATTCAGCAGAAGAGCACAATGATGAATGGCCTGACACTGATACATGTTCCCCAAGCACTGGGAAGCCACAGTGGAGCTGCTGCTGGGCAGCAGCCTGGCTGGGACTGCGTGCCAGGATGGGCCAGGGGCTAAGCTGGAGGCACCCACCTGCTGAGCATCTCTCTGCTCTGTGGGTGGTGAGCGTTGGGCTCGTGGGGTCTCGTCCCTCTGCGACAGGCCTTGAGACTTCTCCGGTCAGAGGTGATGTGCGTCACCTTCCCAAATGCACCCGTGGGCTTCCCCAGGCTTGCTCAGGCAAATACTTGCTGCAGGATTTTCCCAAAGGCCGATCAGGATATGAAAGAGCCCTTCAAAGCAGATGCAGCCAAGTGAACTCATGGAACAGGAAATTCATGCACATGTACCTCTGTAACTTGCATCCCCAGAGCGCTGTGAAAGCCTCAGGAGGATATTCAAGGGGGAATCTGGGTGCAGTTGGACGGTGTTATAGGTAGCAGACAGCACATTGCAAGTTAACTTGTACATGGAGTGTACCCATCACTGTGGTGATGTCTTCAGGGCTGGTGAGTGTGAATAGCACGAGCCAGTCACAAAGAACTGGCCTTGGAAAAAATCCCCATCTGAAGGCTGAGACAATTCATCTCATTCCTTCCCCAAGGACTTTGACTCAGTTTCCAAAATGACATCTCTATCTTTCACCCTCATGTTTTTCTGATCCTCTCCTTCTGCCAAGAGTTGGGATTTGTGTGAGTACATCAGCTTGTCTGAATACCAGATTTGCATGTGCAAACAGCCAGCAACACACAGAGCTTGCTTTTGCTCATGCAAAATCTCAGCATCATCTCTTGCAAATGCAGCCTGAGATAAGGTGTCTGAAAGCCCCAGAGCTGTCTGAGAATGAGCAATAGGAGCACCACTAACTGGTCTCTCTCCTCTCTGCAGGTAATCGGGAGTTCCCTCCTCTTCATTCATGACAAGAAGGAACAGGCCAAAGTCTGGATGATTGACTTTGGGAAAACCACCCCACTGCCGGAGGGACAAGTTCTCCAGCACAACGTGCCCTGGGTGGAAGGGAACAGAGAGGACGGCTACCTCTGGGGGCTGGACAACCTCATTCAGATCCTGACAGAGTTGTCCCAGAGCGAAGACTTGCATTAAAGCCGCGCGTCTGACTCTGCCACTACCCCCAACCTGCCCCCGACTGACTCTTCTGAACTGCACTACAAGACACTTTCCAGCCCTCGCCCTTCCCATTTGAAAGCTATACTCTCCCTATTTAATGTGTTTTTGTTGTGTTTTTTTTAGGTTGTCTTGGTCTTTTTTTTCCTCTCCATGTAAATAGAGAGCTAACCTGCCAGAACAAAAGCTGAACTTGAAACCTTGGCTTCACAGAGTCAGTGGGAGCACACGGCCGTGCCGGCCGGGAGCAGCCTGGAGGGTTGCTTAGGCAAGCGCGTGCTATTGCGTGCTTCTGTCTCTTGTGCAGCCTGATTTTAAGATGGCTGGTGGAGGAAGGAGCCTCTCCCTGCACTGGGATCTGTAGCTTTATCCCAAAAACACTCAGTGGCTGTGCCCAGGACCCTCTGGAAGCCAGGTGCGTGAGTAAGGCATGGGGATAGCGAAGGATACTGGGGTGGGAGCCCTTTAGTTGTCCTTGCCAGCACCTTTCAGCCTAGGGAACTGGCTGTGCCGAGTCCTTCAGAGATGCTAGAAGGGCAGATTTGGGTTTTTCTTTGTGTTCAAGACATCCCATAGAGGTTGCTCAGTTATTTTCAGGTGGCACTGGAGGGTGAGGTTTTTCCTCCTACTGTGGGGCCATATGGCTGGGCACAGGTATTTATCATGGCCAGGTTCTTCCCACCCACATCCCCTGTGCTAGGTGCACTGGCACAGTGGGTAACATGTCGAGCTCCCCTGCTAGGAGCTGCTTCCATCCCTCCTTAGCTGGGGTCCGCAGCCCTCCATGCGGAATGAAGTCTTCGGGCAGGGCTGGGGGAGAGAACAATAGCTTATAAGGGACTACTATGAGACCTAAAGTAGTCATCCAGGTTGATCAGTCTTTTTGGCAGCAGCCAAGCACGTGTGTAGGGGTAGTGCTGCCAATGCCCGCACCTGGCCCAGGGTGACCTCCCCGCCTGGAGCATCTCTGTAATTTTTATCAGCAGGTGGTGAAGGGTGACAGCAGCAAAGCAGCTCTCGAGGTGGCCAGGTTAGTTGTCTTTGGCAACGCAGAGTTGGGGTCAGGCGTCCCCGTGCCTTCCCTCTTTTTCCGCAGAGCTAGCTGACTCTGCCGCTGCTCTTCGGCTCTGGCTTCCCAGCTTGCTTGGGCCATGCGGACGGCTTCTGCGCTCCCACTCCTGCAAAAAACACCCAGTTCCCTATTTAGGGCGGAGGCTATTTTTTAACTTCCTGGAACATTTGAACTAAGCGGCTCGCTCGTGGTGGAGCTGGCTCGCTAAAGGTCAGCCATCGAGAGGACGGCGGGGAGGGGAGGCTGCAGGGCAAGCCGGGGCATCCCTCACATCAAGGACAGAAGGAGCGTGCGGCGCAAGAGGTGGTGCAGGAGCTTGGCAGCCACGAATCCCTCACCTGCTCCATCTCCAAACCCGCCGTCTCATCTCGCTTCCCGGGAGCGGTGCTCCAGAGCCCCTCTGCCATCATTCGGTGGGTCCAGCACCCTCAGCGGGGGAGGTTTTCTCCTGGCAGCAATAAGGAGCAGGAGTTGGCCATCAAGCCATCTGCAGCCATGCCCCAGCCTCTTTCCCAAGGATTGAAGCCTCCTAAGGTTTTTCTCAGTTCATATCTCACCAGACAGATGTCTTTAGCTCATCTGATGCCATTGTAAATGGTTGCACTGTTTTAGCTCCTTGCCAGGCTTTCTAGAATAGCCCACGTGGAAGTGCCTTATAGACTTGCCTCTGTTCCATTAGTGTCATGGAAAAGGTTGGGTTTTTTTTAAGTTATATTTATTTTCATCCCATTTTAATTGCACAAAACACTAAAACTTAATGCATGGAATCCCTTTTTTTTTTTTTTTTAAACTGTGTTTTTAATTTTTAAACCATCCCTTTTCCAGCTTTGGAGAAAGGATATGAACAGATATGCATAGATATGTACCACTTATTGCTGTACTTTAGCTTCAAGCTGCTCTTATATATGTGTATTATTTTTTAAGCCTGTTTATAAACCAGATTCCTTGCTTCATGGCTTCAGAAGAAGCAGGTTGTTCCTCTCAGATGTCTTATGCCTTTCTGGAGGAACGGTTGCTGTGAGGGAATTTCCCCACTCCCACCACCCCTCTTGGTCATTGGGTAATACGGAAAAAAAAATCAAACCGGTCTGAAACACCAACGCACAGTGCCTGTAAAAAAATCCTGTAACTTTGCAAATAAAGGCGTATGGGAAGCATTCGCCTGGTGTATGGTCTGTGTCTGCCCCGTGCAGCTTACGGCAGCCTGGGAACAACCCAGGAGCTGGCTTTTCATGTCCATGCTGATTTTGGGGGGAATCAGACTCCAGCTTTGGTTACCCCACCACATGCCGGGAGCAGCGCTGCGTAAAAGCAAGAGTAGGGAAGGACCCTGCGCTGGGGACAGATCCTGACAAACAGGAACTGGCTTTGCAGGGAGCGGGGCAGGGTGAGAGCAGACCCAGGGCTCGGGGGGGGGGTCCAGGCTGGGTGGGGGGGCACCCTGGGAGAGGCCGGAGTTTCTCCATCCCCTTTCTGCAGGGAAGCCCACCAAAGGCAGCTCTACACCAGGAATTTTTTTTGCTCTTTATGTTTTTTTGCTAGCACTACATTGTGGCTCCCACTGAGCGGTTTCCGAGTGCCACCCTGCGATTTCCGCGCTCAAGAATATCAAAGCACCCAGGGGCGTCAGAGCTGCCCGGCGCAGCCATGCGCTTCCCCTGCTCCTCTCCCTCTCAGCTGCACTGCGGGCAGTGCCAGAGGGAGCACTTGGGACCAAAGGCCACCAAAAAAAACCCAGATTGGTTTTGCACTGAAGGAGAAATCAGGTTGTAGAGCCTGAAAGGCAGCTCCAGTCCCTCCTGGTTGTTTGTGCAAGCCCAAGACAGCAGGAGCCTGTCCTGGGGCAGACGTGGCAGAGGGGAGTGGGTGCGCTGCCCCATAGGAAAGTCAAATTTAATGCCCAGGCCCCCAGGAGCAGCCCAGCCCGGGGACCAGTCCCTGCAGCATCTCTGCCGCTCGCCACAGCGTCTCTAAAACAAACTGCAGGAGAAAGCCAGCGTGGACTTTGCTTAAAGACTAGAAACCTCTTGGTACAAGAAAGAGCTGGTAGTACTATAGATGTGAGGCGGCTATACGTGCACCTAGCGATCTCTCGTGGGCTGTGAGAAAGGCGTACGTGTTTCCTATCCAGCTGGCTTGCACGCTCCTGCAGCATCGTTACCGACAGCCGATGTAGCTCCAGTTCTGGGGGCCACTGAGAGTCTCATCAGTACGGGACTCCTTCTCCTACCTGTGGAGGAAAACCAAAGCCTCCAAAACTTACCCAGCTGCACCCTGAAATGCAAAACCAGAAGGCAAAGAGTAAGAACCTCAACCCCGTTCTGTAAAAACCTCTCTTGAGAGTTAAGGAAACACCATGACATTGTGGTGGGGAGGGGAAGGGAGTAAGTCGGGGAAAGAAACCCCTCTTGATTGAGTGCTGGCGTCTGCTGACCCTAAGATTTATGCACCAGGTTGGAAGGGGGCAGGTCCCAGTGCCAAGCTGGGGCTGCCAGTGCAGCACAGCATGTGCCACGACGAGAGCCCTGCTTGCCCACCTCACCTGGCTTTGCTGCACCCCCAAAGCAAAACCCTGGGCTCCCTGCCACTTCAGGGATTAATAAACTAAATTATTAATAAACTCAATATAGAGAAGAGAGGCCAGCACTTACATTAATGCAACAAAGAAAACTTTACATGTTGCTGAGGCTTCCACTGTTACCACACGGAGCCTCCCAACACCTCCAGCAGCACCATGGGGGTATGAGGTAGGGAGGGGGCAGCTAATTTTCTTCTTAATTATCTAATTAGGTACTACTTCCAAGAATGAACCTCCTATAAATAAGGGGGTGCTGGGGGCCAGCTGGGAGTTGCGACCTCTGAAAATGGTAGGACTTTGATGTGCTGGTTGATAGAAATCTGAGGCTCATGCGGTGTGAGTTGTTAGTGGCACCAGCTGGTGTGGTTTTGGGGGTCTCTGGGAAGCCCCTCACGAGGTGTTTTGCCCCTGCCACGGATGACGCAGGGCAGCACTGTCCCCCCCATCCCAGCCAAAACCCCTGCCCCAGGAAAGGGCTGGACGGAGTTGCACTGCCTGAGCAATGAGATCTCAAAAGGACAGTCTTAAGTGCTTAAATAAATTACTTAAGTCACTGCCCCTTAAATACTGCTGGCCATAAATAAAGGTGTGGGGAGGCACCCAGGCTCTACCGGGGAGGCTTGTCTTATGCTGAGGTGTAGAGCCATGAAATGCTGCAATTTTGGGGCTGGTGCTGCCAGCAATGGGCTTTTCCCTTCGCAGACCCCTCGCTGCCACCCCGGGGCGAGGTGAGGCTGCCGGTTTGGAAGTTGGCAACAGCCCCTTTGGGTTTCACGCAGGGTCCCGTCCCCCTGCCCGCTGCCGCTCTGCCGTGGGTGCTGGGTGCAGGGGGCTGGGGGGGGAGCGGGAGCGAGGCGGAGCTGCCAGGGTGAGAAAATAACTGCTTTTGCATCTCACCCCAAGGATTTCGGTGCTGGGGGGGGTGTGGGGTGTGCGTGGCAGGGGGAACATGGGGCCACCGTGGTGTGGGGGGTGTCGTGTTGGGTTTTAACCACCAAACGGGGCTGTGCTCGGGCTGCTCCTTTCCACCGGACCTTAAAAAAACGAGCCCCGCTCCCCTTGCCTCCCCCACGACCCCCATCACGGTCCCGCGTGGGGTGAAACGGGGCTCCCCCCCCCCCCCCCCCCCCGCCTCCCCCCCCGGGCGGGGGGGGGGGGGGGCC